AAGTTAGGCACTCAAAGTGTCTTTTTTAAAAATAATCTAAGTGGCACTTGTTTTTCTTTATATGTTAGTTAGAAATTATTACCTAACGATTCATCCTTTACATATTAATATTTTTTAGTTTTGAATGATTGTGAGCACTCGAACATCAAAAAAGTTAAAATCTAGACACTCAAATAAAAAAATTTACCAATTGGATATTTAATCATAAAAAAATTAAAAATTAAATACCCATATTGTAGTTTTCTCAACTTAAATGTGACTTGACCCACCATTAAAAAATGTTTTGATTCCCTATTCACAAACAACTTAATCAATTTTTCAAAAATTGTAGAGGTTGAAATGAAATTATATTCACAAACAACTTAAACAATTTTTCAAAAATTACAGAAGTTGAAATGAAATTAGTGAAAAATGTTACTTTTGTTACTATTTTTTCTCAAATCACCCTTAATTTTACCAATAATTTTAAATGAGCTCAATGACATGGCCCATCACAAATTAAAAATTAAACAGTCTTGTCCCTCTCTCAAATGCTACATGCTAGATTCGTACTCGAGCATTGATATTGAGAAATGTAACAAAATTCTAACATTTTGATTCTTTTTTATTTTTTTATTTTTAAAAAAGACTCGTAAATCATCTACTCAAATTTCAAAATATCGTTAACTTGAGAAAATAATTAAACCTACATTAATCTTATTTGTCATTAATATACTGAATGAGAGAAAGAAAAGCAATGGTAATTTCACTATTTTATATTGTATGCACAAAAATACAACAAACTATGTATTAGGTGACATTTTTTATACGACTTTCATGACCATTTGTTGCAGCTTTTTTTAGGGGGATTTTTTTCATTTTGATTTTAAAGTTTATCTGAGCTTTTTTTTTTTTTTTTTTTTTGTAAAGAAGAAAAGAAGCACATAATCAGGCTCTCGATAAATAGATTCTAATAGCATCGCCTAAAATAATTAAAAAAAAAAAAACTTAAAAAAATGAGGTTATAACTATTCATTCATTGTAGCTATACACTCAAAATTCTTATTCATGTGTTTTTTTTTTGCATCTTGCTCCTCGTTCTTTAAGAGATAAATTAATTAGTCCCTTTGGTTTTCTTATTTTTCTTTTTTTAGAGGGCTGGGCTGTCATTTTTGGGCTGGCTTTTTTTTTCCTTTTTTTAAAGGGCTGGGCTGTCATTAAATTTTTTCCGAGCTGGCCTCTCTTTTTTTTTTGGGCTGGCCTCCTTTTTTTTTTTTTTTTTATGAATAATCGAAAACCAACAGGAGTGCATGGCCACGCTAAATCATTAAATACCTCACAGAATTATAGCTACATTTCTTTCTTTCTTTTTTAAAAAACAAACAGTATATTTAAAATTAATAAGATTAGCAAAGCATTCAGTAAATTCAGACCATGACAAAAACATATCTTAAAAAATTCATGGATAATTTTATTGAACAAAATTTTGTTGCATTTCTTATGATACAGATGAAAATATGCAAGTTCGAGTTTGTCATCTTGACTTCTCTATTTTTGTTTTTTTTTTTTAAGAGGGTTGGGTGTCATTCATTTTTTTTTCCGAGCTGGATTCTTTTTTTTTTTTTTTTTTTTCTGGGTTGGCCTCCATTTTTTTTTCTTTTCTTAAAGAGTTGGGATGTCATTCGCTATAGCAGTATCATTTTTTTCCCTTTTAACGGCTAGCCTTCTCCTTTTTTTTTTAAGAAAAAAATTAATAATTAGTTAAAAAATTCACTCTGATATATTCCATGCAATTTAAATGAGTTGTTTTTATATTTATTTATTTATTTTATATACTCGATTCGTTAAGTAATATATATATAATCGAATTTATCGAAACCAATTTTATAATAGTTTTTATTTAAATCTATTCACTTTCATATATTCCATGCAATTTAAGTGGGTTTTTCATACATATATATATATATCAAAATTTATTGAAACCAAATTTACGGTAGTTCTTATTTAAATCTATTTACTTCGATATATTCCACGCAATTTAGGTGGATTTTTTTATATTTATTTATTTATATTATATACTCTAAATATGTCAAGTATTATATATATTAATTATATATGCACACATAACATCAATTATTTGTTATTTATTTTTTCATATTTTAAAATTTATATTTTTAAATAAAATAATTTAATTAATGTTTTAATACGACCTCTTAATTATTCAAATACAATATTTTTATACTGATATTATAAATTATTTTATTAATGAATATATATAGATAAAATAAGTCCGCTTAATATATAGATTCGATTTATATTAATTTTCAAAAACAAAACATCTACTCACCTGGTCGCTCGAGTTGGTCCTTCACAGTTCTATTGGTGTGGTATCATTCATAGTCCCATTACTCGTGGGTTTTTTTTCCCCATTGGCATCCATGTTTTTAATTTCTTTTTACCGAGTTGGACTATTGGAATTTAGTTTGTCATTTCTTTCTTAATTTGTTAATAAATTTGTTTTTTTTTTATTTGTGACTTTTGAAATAAAATGTTGGAACATGATTGTTTCATTTTTTAAGATATATTATTATAATTTATATGATTTTTATGTGAAAATGTCTTTACTTGCTTATATAAGTTATAATGAGAGAGAAAGAGTTAAAAGTGTGTTTTAAATAATTTAACTTTACTTTTTAAAAAAATAATAATCAATTAAAAAATTAATTTGACTTGGTTTTTTTTTAAAAAAAAATTAATAATTAGTTTAAAAAATTCACAGTTTTATTTTGTTATATATATATATATATATATATATATATATATATATATATATATACAATCGGAATTTATCGAAACCAATTTTATAGTAGTTTTTATTTAGATCTATTCACTTTGATATATTTCATATAATCTAAATGGGTTTATACACACACACACACACACACCAACCGTGCGCAACCCCTGCTCTTTTTTTTTCTTCTTGTAATTTATTTTATATTTTTAAAAGTTTGGACACTAATATCATGATAGGATAAAAAAAAAGTTGGCTAATTATTTTAAATCTTGATGTATTTAAGAATTGGATCACCAAGAGGCAAAATGAAACCCTTAAAAGAATATATATATATATATATATATATATATATATATATATATATATATATTGTCATAGCATAATTGGATCACCAAGAGGCAAAAGGAAACCCTTAAAAGAATATATATATATTGTCATAGCATAATTGGATCTCCAACAAGTGTTGTACAAGTTAAGCGGTCATATATAATTGGTCCCTTCACCGAGAAAGAAAACATATTTATTATTGGTCCCTTTAATGTCCATGAACCAATATTAATTATATCTTTGACATTGATATTAACATACATATCCGATTATTTTATTCTTATTGTTAAATTTATTTCTTCAATTATTTATTTCTTATTAAATTTCTCATTAAGCTAGTTCTTTAATTTTTTGATATAATTTTATTCGTTAATAAATTTAGTTTTTTAATCTATGAATTTTGGAATAAAATTTTAGAACGTCAATGTTTTATTTTTTTAAATATATTATTATAATTTATATAATAAATTATTTTTATATTTTTAAATGAGTGTTTTACTTTTATATATATATAGAGAGAGAGAGAGAGACAGAGAGAGAGAGCTAAAAGTATGTTTTAGATAGTTTAACTCAATTTTTTTTTAAATTACAATAAGTTCAAAAAATTCACAAGTTTTATTTTCTTTTTTTATGCATGTTTATTCATTAGTTTTGTTAGAAGTTAACTATATATAGATTCGGTTTATATTAATCATAAAAAATAAAACTTTATACTTGCATTACACCATAAGAATCGTTAATTCTATGTGTGTAACGATTGTCTGCACTGCGACGTAGCGCGTGTATCCAACTAATATCCGTAAGATGTAGTGGATGATAGTTCTAAATTTATAATAAATCGATAGGAGAGTCATTCTTAGCTAGAAAGTCAACTCCACGATTGCATTACCTCAAAGTATGACTAAATGACATTGTCCAATGATGTTTACAAAGACAATAAATATAAAAAATGATATTATAGCACAGGTGAGAACGTGAGATCCCATTTCGAATAGCATGGATTATTTTTGAGGAGTTAGTTTCCATCACCACCTTCTTATACCTCATATCCCAAGCAGTAATAAGTCCTTGACGAACAGCTTTCAACTCTACTTGCATAACGGAAGAGTGATGAAGAAAAATTGAAAAACTAATAATCCACACCCCATGCGAATTTCAGAGAATACCACCCATCCTAGCATGATTAGCCAAAGCAGGATAACTACCATTCATATTAAATTTGACTAGATCTAGTGGGAGGTTGCCAAGAGACCCAACAGAATATAGCACAAGAGACATCCCTTTGAATATTGTCAAAAGCTACCTGATAGTTTTGGATTAGAGAGTGGATCATTTGTAATTGATTTCTAGCCGAACTAATAGTCTCTTGGATGACTTCTCGATTTTGAGACTTTTAAATAACCTAATATGTAAGGATGAATGTTCGACGTTTATGCCAAGAAATGCAGCTATCAAAATCATTCTTATGAAACCAATCCTCCTAAGATGTGGAGAGGAAGTCAGTGGGAAGGGAAAAGAGGTTAAGATTTTGCCATACATCCTTAGCCCATGGACACTCTCGGAGAATATGGATAATTGACATCTGGGCCGCCCTACATCTGGCAAAAAAGAAGTTGATGGTTATGACATTATTAACCACATTTCTGGAGAAAAAAGACGTCAAAGAGGTCACCTTGATGACTGGAGTTGTTTGGTGTCCATTTAAAACTCTTTCATAGTCGGAGAGTCAAGATCGAAGTCGAGATTCATTTTCGTTTTCAGACTTTGATTTCATTTCAAGCCATTTAAATTATATTAGAATAGGTTTTAGAATTAAAAAAGACTTTCCAATGAACACGACTTCTTTCACTTATTAAAAATAAAAAATAAAAAATAAGCGCTTGGTCCTCCTAAATATGGTTCAAGTGCATCGTGACTGCCCTCCTAAGCTTGTGCCCAAGCACATTGTGTCCTGGCTGAGAGACTTTAGGCTTGATTTCTTTTTATTTTTTCAATATATTTTGTTTTAAATTATTTTTTATCAATTTTTTGTGGAATTTTTTTTTATGTATAAACTTATGACTTTGTTTTTTTTTTTTTTTTTAATGTCTGCAATGATGTATAATTTTAAAATTATGTTTTTTTTTACACAACTATATATATATATATATATATTTTGAAGGACGTCCAATCCAAACACATAAAAAACAATAAAATTGCAGGTAATTTTAAATATCATGAAAAAATTTTGTTTATCTTATCAATGACACGTGGTTTTAAAGTTTTTTACACAATACAGTATTGGAATTTAAATATACACTAGAATTTATTTTTAAAAACATTTTTTTAATTACTTGTCAATTCAATATGTATGGTTTGAAAATTCTTTTGTTCTTAAGAAAATTACATGTGGCAATTAGAAATAAATTATTTTAATATTCATTTACTTTATTTGAACATGTCGATATTTGTCAAAATTAATTTTGATTTATTTTAATGTTAACTGGATTTATTTAAATAATTTAAAAGTTTTCATGCGTGGGCCCTTAAGCTAGTTCAGCCTCAACAAACAATTATATGTATTAATAAAAAGGCCGGCCTAGAATATATTGGCCCAGGCGATCACCCACCAGCCATTCTACAACTATTTATTTCTTGTTTTTCATCTCTAAAAAGGGTTAATAGAGCGGGCTTATGGCACGTTATATCTTTGCCGTCCGCATTCCACCCCTATAGTGCGCTGGGTGGAAGAAGATTTTTTTTTTTTTTTCTTATATCACGAAAAATCAAGCAGAATTTCATTATCTTGAAGAAAACAAATTTGGTTCTATTTTTTGTATAAAAATAAAATTATATTAAATTATTATTTATTTTAGTCAAACATATACAAAATAAAAATAAAATTTTTATTTACATTCTCATCATTTCATTCATGGCTACCAAACAACATTTAAAAATACTCCATTAACACAAAAAAATATATTTTTGTAGTTATAAAATAATATATATATTGAATTTTAACATAATTATGATATATTATTGAATATAAATAATCAAAATAAAATTTAATAACAAATTTATTTTAGATATTAATTGTTTAACAAATATGCACGATGAATAATGAAAAATAATAGACATGTATATATAGTTAGCTTAGAATTCTATTCGAAATGTGAATATATCTTTTGTCCTTATTTTTATTTATGCAGCAACGAAAAATACTTTTTTAAATCTTACCTATCCTACTTGAGTTTCATTGTATGTTCTTCAAGGCATATAATTTTATCATATATTCGTTGAAGCATATATTAAAAGTTCGGAGAAGTTTTTAATGATCAACAAAATAAAAGAAAACAGAAAACCAAAATCCAAAAACATCGCTGAAACTGTTAAAAATTCACTTTGGTCCTTGATATCTCAGTTGTATTTTATGTGGTACCTATACTTTTATGGTTTTTCAATAAAAATCTAAACATTTTCAAAAGTTTCAATGCTGCTCACGGATACTTTAATAATCGGAATTCCTATTTCGTAGTTGCAGATCCCTTCATTAGTTTTTCTAAAATTTAAAGCAACAATAGAACTGAAATTTTATTAAATAACGATAACAATACGAAAATTTTCTAATGAATGAATCCTGAATAAACACATAAAAATAAAATAAAATAAAACGATGTAGAAATTGGATGAAATTGTAACAGATGGTATTGTTTCAATTAAGATTTATTCATTAGAAAGTTTCTGTTATACCAGCATAACTCAATGACTTTAGCACTCTCTATAAAGAAATTGCATATAATTCATTAAAAAAAAAGTACCATTATAACGCAAATACACAACAGCAACAGCGTGCCACTTCCCGTCTTCCACCCTCTCAAATTTTCCTTTCGCGCTCGCCACGAAAATAAATGCACGGTCTCCCTCCTTTCTAATTCGCAACTCCCAATCTTTGGAGCCAAAACACGTTACCACCTGACCCACCGCCACAAAGTCCTTTTTTTGTTTTTTTGAAAATTAAATAAACGTAACCCCGTATAATAGCAACAATGAAAGTGAAAGTTTAATTTTAATAATCTTGATAATTATTATATACACACTTCTACTTCCTTCCTTATCGGCAATCCTACCAAACAAATACCACAGCATATCTCTCTCGTGTTGTCCACGCAGCTCAGTTTCTCTCTGCAACCTCCACTGGCTTTCAATTCAATTCCGTTTTCCCCGACGAATTCAAATCTCGCTGTCTCATAGATATAATTCAAATACTCGAATCACAAATTTTGTTTCGAATTCTCTCTTGGCCTTTTCTTTTTCTCTTCAGAAAATAAAGAGTCAAAAAACGTTTGAATCTTTTGGTTTCTACCTCTTCATTACCTCAATTAGGGTTTCCCTTCAAATTTTAGGGTTTACAGTTTCATTCAAGCCACTAATATCGATTTGAACGATCATTCGTTCCTTCAAAATTGAAGTGTAAATAGTTCAATTCATATGCATTTGATTCAAATATTTTTGTGTCGGACCTAAAATTAGGGTTTCGAATTGAATTCTCTGACGATGATAATAAAAAATTTATGAAAGGCGAAATGCGGCGGTGCAACATAGGAGGAGGGACTGATAACAAATTCGAAGAGGAGGAAAATTTTGAATATGAATTGGTTCCAAAGAAGCCAAAGTTGAATGGACACAGTTCAAATCCAATGGGTATGTATTGTGAATTTGATGATTTTAGCAGTGGTTCAGGTTCTTTTTGCAGCGAAGGATCGTACTGGGCTAACGAGGTTCAGTCTAATGCGAAGATTAGATTGAAGAATCAGAGCATGGCGAGCTCCCGGAAGCCGATATCTAGATCTTCTCGAGGGCGAGTGCAAATGCTTCCTTCGAGGTTTAATGATTCGGTTGTGGATATTTGGAAAAATGAGGAGTGTAGAATTGATGATACTGATTTGGAAATAGAGGATGATGATTTTGCAGATAGAGAGGATTTTTATAGTGAGAAACATATATATAATAGTAAATTTGGTTTTGGAAGCTCTATTTCCTATCCGTTTTATGCCATGGAAGGAAATGGAGAAGTGGGTCAGTTAGGGTGTAACAATTTTCAGTGTAGAAATGGTGATTATACAGAGTTTATGAGTTCGAGCAATCCATTAATAGAAGATGGGGTGTTTGTGCCAAGATATGGGCATACAGGTTTGGATAAATTGAGGAGAGAAAAAACTCAAAAAAGAAGGATGTTTATAAGCCTGAGGATTTTGCTTTGGGTGATTTAGTTTGGGTTAAATGCGGGAAGAGGTACCCATGGTGGCCAGCTATTGTGATTGATCCCATCTTGAAAGCTCCTGATGCGGTACTACGTTGTTGTGTTCCTGGTGCTATTTGTGTTATGTTTTATGGGTACTCTAAAAACGGAACGCAAAGGGTATATTTCTCTTGCCTTTTCTCATGTTTCCCGCACTGGAGTTTTTATTGCTTAGTTTGTGGCGTGGATTTTAAGCTAATGATTAACAGTAATGTGCAGGACTATGCATGGGTGAAACAGGGGATGATATTCCCTTTTGCAGAATTCATGGACAGGTGTGTCGATGATCATACGTAATTGGTGCTATTATAAATTGTTAGCGCACTCTTTGTTGATTTTCTGTTTCTTCAGATTTCAGGTGCAGACCCAAATGTTCAAGTGCAAGCTGAGTGACTTTCAGGTGGCACTAGAAGAGGCAATTTTAGCAGAAAGTGGTTTACCAGGCATGGACAGCACTAGTGCGGAAATAGCATATCCTGAAGCTTATCCCACTGGACTCCAAGAAGCCAGCTGTTCAAGTCAGGATCAGGACTTCTACACTCAACAACAGGCAAGTTTCTTCAGAGTTTTGTTTTTTTCCCTTTCTTCCTAATTCTACTCAAATGACTTTGAAGGATTTAATGCAGCAGGGGAAATTATGTAGTACCAGCTAAATATAATCTTATAGACATTACTTAGTCTGCCATGGTTGAGCTTTCTGATATAGAAGTACATTTGTTTGGTTAGTTTTTGTAGTTTGTTCTAGCTTGTTGTTTCATTCTCTGTTTGTGATGTTATTTCTGAATGCTTATGAATATTGGGAGGTCAGATTCCTTGTTTAGAAAATTTTCCGTCACTCATTTTCCTTGCTATAATAACTAAATACTTCTTGGTATAATTTTAACTGGAAGCATCCAGAATGAGTAAATATTTGGATGAAAAATATTGTTCGAACTGCTGCTTTTTTATTTCTTGAATATTGCATCAATTGTAGCTAAAAATGAAAACTGAGAAAATACTGATGAAGATGGAAAGGACTGGGACCATTGTTGTAATTGCTGAGAAAACCATCAAACTGGAAATATTTCAACAAATACCTGAACTCTATGTTATGTTATGTTGCAGAAGTACGTGCCATGTCTTCTAAAATATTGATACCATAGACCTTGCACATGTCTTGATAAATTATTTCACATTCAGTTCATCTTCTACCTTGTGTATGCTGTAAGAGATACAATTCCAATGTTGAGAAAATCTTTTCCTTGTCCCGAAACCAAAATAATAAAGGTTCTGTTTTAATACAATGAAAGTCTGAAGTTTCTTGTTTTCATGATAAGGTTGCCTGTTTGTTGGCAGTAGGTCGATGTTAGTGTAAAGAAAACACAGAATTTTTCCTTTGAGCTGTCTATTGATGATCTGTCCTCACATTTATTGATGCTTTGCAAAATGCTGGGTTATGTACACTCTGTGTTGGGATGATTAGAAATGTAATTCTGGGAATTTTTATTGAACGACTTAGGTGTTTAAATGTTTTTGAAATACTATGGTCCTTCCCTCATCAGTGGATTTTGTTTGCACATTTAATTATTAGATGAATTGATTCTCTCATGTTTGGTGCTGCAAACTCGTCTGATTCAATGTGCATGACTGACAAAAATTTATTGTTTTTCTGTTGGCATACATTTATGGTAAAATGCTTGTACTTTTACACATGGTGGAGTGTTGAATTTGTTCTCTAGATATATTTTTTTTCCCGGGAATTTCTTTTACAGCTTTTGGATTTTGACTTCCTTTTTATAAGCTGACCTTTTGAGTTTAAGGTGCTCATAGTATCTGGTTGTTCAGTTATCAGAATTTTATCTCGTGAATTAATTGTTCAGGATGCATGTTACAAAGACATGAGATGCTGTGCTGGCTGCAATGTAATCTTGCCATGCAAAACTATGAAGAAAAGGAAAAGATCAGCATTTCAAAGTGAACTTTTATGTATACATTGTGCTAAGGTTCATGAGAAATACCTCCTCTTGTTATTTTTTGCTTGTATAATTATCTTTTTTAAAGTGATAATAACATCCATGTTTCTTACAGTTAAGAAAATCAAAGCAGTATTGTGGTATATGCAAGAAGACCTGGCATCATTCAGATGGTGGGAACTGGGTAAGATTATAAGCAGTATTTGAATTAGGTTTATACTGTTCTCTTCCCAAAATAATAAAATAAATGATTTGGTATATGTCGGAATTAAACTTCATGTATTAGGTATGCTGTGATGGCTGTAATGTTTGGGTGCATGCTGAGTGTGACAACATTTCCAGCAAACTTTTCAAGGTGTGTCTACCGTATTATAGTCTAATACATTCTGTTATCTCATATGTTAGCTTGTGTTCATATCAAAGGTGGAGGCTAACTGATTTGTTGTGGTTTGAAGGATCTGGAGGATGTTGATTATTATTGCCCTGATTGCAAAGTAAAATTTAAACTTGTACGACAACATTTTGAGAGAAGAAAGTCTCCCGTCAAGTATGCTGCTCCCTCTGTTTTTCCTAATTCATATGTGATTTTTAAATTTGACATCACAGATTTGTTATGGATTTTTCCCTGGGAAATTTTAATCCTAACTATGTCAATTGAATCAGGTCAGTAGGAAACAGTGGACTGGCTGTACCAAATGACAAGGTAACAGTTATCTGCAATGGGATGGAGGGAACATACTTTCTGAAACTTCATTTGTAAGCCCTGTAAACTTTGCAAACATTATGGATTAAGTAAACAAATTATCATGTACTCTCTCTCTCTCTCTCTTCTCTCTCTCTCTCTCTCTCTTTCTCTCTCTCATTTCTGGGTTGCTATATATGTTGATGGACTGGGGCAAATTATGACTGTATCCGCTTGTTTGTTGCAAATTCTGGTATTTTTAAATTAATCTGATTTAGTTGTGTCAATAGGCAATGCTGGTTAATTTTGTGTTAAACAAAATATTTGGTGGATTATGTTTTATTTATTTATATTTTATAATCATTATCTAGTATAATAATCTCATTAAGGTTTTTCCTTTCCCTCTGTTTGTAGAATTGAGTGCAACTGCATTTCATGTGGGTCGCGGAAACAAGCACCTAGTGAATGGGAAAAACACACTGGGTGTAGAGCTAAAAAATGGAAGCACAGTGTGAAGATCAAAGACACAATGTTACCACTGGCACAATGGGTTTGTACTGGCACTTGTCATTTTCTTAATTGGTATCTGTTCTGATCTGTGTGATTTTGTTTCCATGTAACTAAGTTGCTGATTTTTAACATCATAGTACAGTATATGCCACTTAAATATTGTAGATGTTAGGGTGCTCAATTCTGCTCTCATTTTCTCTAATGTTGTTGCTGATACAATCTTTACCTTATCCAATGCTGTGCTTTGTCTTGAAAGCATTTAAAGAACTTGCTAAAAAAAGGAGCATATAAGGAACCAAGAAATATAAAAAAAGGAAGAGGAATAATAGAGAATTGAGTGTATCCTTCATTATATAGCCTTAATTGTTGACTAATGGTGGTAGGAATTCTAATTTGTTTATTAAGAACAATGTCAAAGTCTAACCTTGAGAACCTATTTTTGATTTTTGTTGATTATGTTGCAACATTCGAATCTTATAAATGGTAGACAATGACTGTATGGTAATTTGGTCCGGTAGTTGGTATCATAACGGTAACTACCTTAGGATCCTTTTCTGAGTCCAGTTTTATGATTCTAGGACAAACCAGTGTTCCAAGCTTGTCCTGCAAATATAATCTTTGATTGCAGTAGGTTTTTCTTCTCTTTCTTTTTCTCTTCTTTGTTGAGTTGAATGAATCTTACACAGGACCTTACTATTAAATTTTCTACAAACAATATCTATGGTGCAGATTGCTGAATATAATAATGCATATGTAGACCCTCTAAAGTTAGATAAGCAGAAGCTATTTGCTTTTGTGCAAGGTACATATTACTTACTACCTTTTCTTTTGCTTTACTGGCAAGAAGTGGGTGCTTTATTGGGGTAATTGTGAACAACGTGAATTTTTTATTTCCATTGCAACAGAGAAGTATGAACCTATCAATGCAAAATGGACATCAGAAAGATGTGCTGTTTGTAGATGGGTTGAAGATTGGGATGATAACAAAATTATAATATGCAATAGGTAATACCCTCTTTCATCATTTCTTTGTCTATTTTGTATTATTTGGGTGGCCTACGAAATCAAGTGTTTCTCTAAGTTTAAAACTGAATTATGTATTCATTTACAATTGCTTTGAGACCTATTTTTCCTTTTTTAATTTGTATTTTCAGGTGTCAAATAGCTGTCCACCAAGAATGCTATGGGGCAAGGAATGTTCAGGATTTTGCTTCATGGGTGTGCAGAGCATGTGAAACTCCTGATGTGGAGAAGGAGTGCTGCCTTTGCCCTGTAAAAGGCATGTTGTCTAGCATTATGTTTTGATAGATCTTAGTAATTTATCTGTGGTTTGCCAAAGTCATTGAATGACTGAAGTGTCTGAATTGCGTAGCTTCTTTCCTTTTCTTAACAAAAAAGAAAGAAATATTATTCTGCTGCTGGAAAATTATTTACTGTCTGACTATTGTACTCTGGAATTTGGTGGGTTGATTCCAGTACAGGACGAATAATGAATCTGATGATTATTAATGTTTCCAGTCAAGGTTTTTGCACTGCTGCACCAAACTACCAAAGCCCTTATATATATATATATATATATTTGGTGACCCTTTTCTGCTTTCATGTTGTAAAGTTCATCGTAATCCAAAGCTGGTTTGTTCTTATATTTGAAACCTACTTCTTTAGGGGGTGCTCTGAAGCCAAGTGATATTGAAACACTGTGGATTCACATCATATGTGCTTGGTTTCGACCTGAAGTTGGTTTCTTGAACCATGAGAAAATGGAACCTGCCACTGGAATACTTAGAATTCCATCGACATCATTTATGAAGGTATATTATGATCTGAACAATCAGTTAGAAGTTTCTTGATCTGGTCTTTTAAAGCAAACTTTTGTCACATGCTTAAAAGTGGGAGTTATCTCCCTTAATTTTATAGTATTTATTTTGGCACATCCAGAATTTAAGAGGATTCTAATTTTGGTAAAGGGTAATTTCCTTAGTCATTGAGGACCAAGGCTTTTGTACAATATGGTGATTGGATTGTTCTTCAAGTTGTTATTTGCCAGATTGATGCTCATTTACTTGCTATTGTTATACAAATAAGAGTGCTTTTGGTCTAAATTTATTTTATTTGCATGCCAGAGGTGTGTAATCTGCAAGCAGACCCATGGTTCGTGTGCCCAGTGTTGCAAATGTGCCACCTATTTTCATGCAACGTGTGCCTCGAGAGCAGGATATTTCATGGAAGTAGGTTTTTTTCTGAAATGGTTTTTAATGCTCATAACTCATGAATATATTTTTTTTTCCGTCTTAGTGTCCGGATTTCATATTTTGTACTGGGCTATACCTTTCCCGGTGCTTGCATGTTTCTATATTATTTAGTCAATATTTCTTATATGATTTTTCAATTGGAAATTTTACAAGAATAGAGTGTGCCAATTGTTCTCATTGATCTTGCACCTTGAACTTTCAGTTGAACTGCACAGAGAATAATGGTGTGCAAGTCACAGAAAAGTTAACATATTGTGCTGTTCACAGGTTAGAGCTTTTGTGCGCATTAATCATTTGCATCTTCATTTCATCATATTGTTTTTTCTTCTAATTGGAAGAGGGAATCTTGTTCATCTCTTGTGTGCACCCTGTCTAATTTGGGTGTTGTGTTGTCTTACCTTGGTTCTGTTGCAGGAAGCCAAACCCAGATTATGTGGTAGTTGTGCGCACCCCTTCAGGAGTTTTCTCTGGCAGAAGTTTTCTTCAGAATCATAATGGGTACTTGAGGGGTTCAAGGTTGGTTTCAACTAAGAGAGTTGAACTTCCAGAACCCTCAACCACAGAGAATAATGACTCTGAACCTCTATCTGCTGCAAAGTGCCGTGCTTTTAAAAGAACAAACTATAAGGTGATTTATCTAGGATCCTTTACTGCTTTTGTTTTACTTTCCTTTCCATTCTCTTCTGGATTTTTCATCACTTATATTTGTGTATTCTGTAAGCTTCCTGCAAAGATAGTTTGTTTTTCATTCAGACCAAGTTTGTTGGTCCATTTTATCTCATCGATATTTTCTCCTGGTTGGCAGGGGTCTGATGGAGATCCAATATTCCACCGATTGATGGGACCAAGACATCATTCTTTACATTCAGTAATTAGCCTGAGCACCTATAAAGTAATGCTCTTATCTTGATTGGAAATTTTAATTTCTATTAAATAGTTTGACAGTAAACCAAGAGAAAAAATAATTGATTTTGGAACTTCATGATCTATCCCTTCTGTTGTTTTGGTTGGTTAACTTTTCAGTATTTGCTCTCTCTTCTAGCAGGAAACTGAAGATTCTACAGTTTTCTCTTCATTTAAAGAGCGCCTTTACCATTTACAGGTCCCACCATCCTTTGCATGAGATAGTTTTTTTTCTATTGGATATGTTTGTCAAAATCAATTAACATGTATTTATGCCTTCAGAAAACTGAGAATCATCGGGTGTGTTTTGGTAAATCTGGTATACATGGATGGGGCCTCTTTGCACGCAGAAATATTCAAGAAGGAGAAATGGTACTTAATTTATATTTTTGGTCTGTCTGTTCTTGTGTTTTGTCAAAGCATATATTGTTTTGTATGGCTGGAATTTCAGTGACTGCCTTTATAATCTCTCATGTATTTAACATCCTTGGAAGTAATGCTCTCTAAATACTCAGCATGTCTTCCTTTCTCATCTAACAAAACGCCTTTCTCCAGGTCATTGAGTATCGTGGAGAGAAGGTGAGGCGGAGTGTTGCTGATCTGAGAGAGGCTCGGTACCGTTTAGAAGGCAAGGATTGCTATGTGAGTTTCTTGATTTCCTTTGGTCTGTATTCATATGACCGCTCATATTTCTTGACCACAGTTTTTGTTATATTGCTTTGAAAATGTACTTTCCAATTTGCCATGAATTTCTTCTTGTATCCTGTAGAACTTTAATCTTAGACCCTGCTGAACTATTGGTAAGCAGATGACCAAGTGGTGATGATGATGATGTAGTCTGAATCACCATGTCCCATCTCGTCCAGGTCCATCACAAGGGAATTGAAAGCCAACATTTGCTTATTTGGTATCGAAGGAGAGCTATGGGCTAATTGATCTTCTCTGGACTATGTTGAAATATGTGGAACAAATTACTGACAAATAATATAACATAATTCTGATGCGATAACCACTGGCAGAAGATGCCACAGTTTCCTTTTCCATCATTTTCCTTTTGTTTCTCTTTGGCCTATACAGCTGAACATAATGTAAAAGGGAATGAACTGTATTGTTGGTGTTTCTTATACTTCAATCAACTATTTCTTGCAGCTGTTCAAGATCAGTGAGGAAGTTGTAATTGATGCAACAAATAAGGGGAATATAGCACGATTAATCAATCATTCGGTAAGTGCAGAAGCTAGACTTTACCTGAACTTGGCACTAAAAAAACCTACCTTATTTTAGCTTTTGCATTGTGACTGTTTCATGTTTCTGTTGATCATACATATTTAAGCCCATGTTTATTGAACAGTTCACAGTGAAATACTTGAACAATCCAGGTAGTCCATTAAGTACCTGGGGACTTGGAAGCCCATTTCCTCTAACTCCCATTGTGTTGTCTGCTATACCCTCTGGCTGAAAAGGAAAATGGATCTTATTTGTGGGATTTAACGACCATTGTGACACTTGCCAAATTAAATTGGTCTTTGATTTACCAGTTCTTTAAAATAGTATGTTTGATATTGATATTGTAACCCCTCAGCCTGACCTGAGTCCGGAAGTTCAACTTGGTTTATCTGGGTCAAGTTGTGCAATTTAGTGTCCTGATGGTTCATTTTGTTCATGGTTAAACAAGTTCTATTTTGTAACCTTATGTATTATACGATTGCATAAAAAGTTGAGGTATTTGTTTTAGTTCTTCGTATTGCATGTGCTCTTTTACCTTAATGTGAAGTGATCAATTGCTGCTATTGCAGTGTATGCCCAATTGCTATGCAAGGATAATGAGTGTGGGTGATGTGGAGAATCGGATCGTTCTCATTGCCAAGGTCAATGTGGCTGCCAGTGACGAGCTAACGTATGATTTAAAGAAACTCTCTCTCTCTCTCTCTCCTATTGAATTACCATTTAGATTCACGTCACTGGTCCTGAGATTTAATTTGGTAATGAACGTGGGTTTAATTTGTGCATGGATAGGTACGATTACTTGTTTGATCCGGACGAGCATGACGATTTGAAAGTTCCTTGCCTCTGTAAAGCTCCTAATTGTCGAAAGTTCATGAATTAAGGCTAGATGTTCTCACTTTCCGATGCATCTGCTTGAAAGCATCAGACTTGTCTTCTAACCTGCAATGAACCTGTAATTTAATTCATTTATTCACTCTGATAACCATCCCAATCTTTTGTAGCTGTAAAATGTAAATTCACTGGCTGTTTGACTGGTGGCCCTTTTTTTTTAAAATCAACTGGTGCTGCTGCTGTTGATTTTTTCACATTGCAACATTGCTACATTACTCCCATTATCGGGTTTCAACTTTCACTTCTGCCCCTCCTTACTGTTGCAGGGGTTGGATTTGAATCTGTTTCGTACTTGTTTCAGAACGAGCAAGTATTCTACTATTTGTCCATTAGTAATTCATTGGTATTTTTTCCATTTGAAAGAAGCCAGATGATGGAACGAAAAACTTTTGGCTAGAGATGATGCATGTTTCAATTGATGAGTGTTAACCACTGATTCTAAAGAAGTCTGATGATTGCAATATAGGGTTGTAACGATGACCCCAATCGCTCATGGCAACCACGATGAATGATTGACCCCAATAGCTCATGACACTCGTGATGATGCCATCTATAGAATCAATGGCGATGTTGCTGCTGCTATAGTGGATGAGAAACGCTTACGGTATAGGTGCGACCAATGACGGCAGTCAACTCGCTAGTTTACTGGAAATAGCCGATGAAGCCTAAGGAATCCAGGTGTAGCCCAAAAAAAAGAGAAACGCTTACGGTATGGGTGCGACCAATGTGGTAGTCAACTTGCAAGTTTACTTGAAATGGGTGATGAAGGCTAAGGATTCTGTGTGACTAGCAAAATACATTGGTTTCTAAGAATCCGGATGGAGTACAAAAAAATTATGCCCTCGATCGAAACACAAAAAAATATACATATGGTTCTGTAGCCAAAATTTCTCCAGTTTGTTACAATAAAGAGGCAGCCCGCCGACGACATTGATTGAACGCTCCGAGTAACGAAATAAGAAATAGCGATAGAAAAAAATAAGAAAAGTTTCCGAGTAACGAAATAAGAATTAAGAAATAATAATAAAAAACGAAAAAGAAAAGTGGTGTTTGCAAGGCCATCGGCTTAGCAGCTACTAATAGACCCATGCTTAAATGGTCCAAACAACTCTGGGCCCCATTAACAAACTTTTCAATTTTTTTTAAAAAAATGGTTTGCTACTCGTTTTAAATCGTGAGAAGTTCGCGCGTCTATAATAAATAGACCCAAACAGTAAGAGCTACTTCTCCAGCTTGAACCTTGCTTTTCTGTTGAAGAAGAGAGTTCACAGAGAAATAGTGAGAAAATGAAAATGAGAAAGCGATTGAGAAGAGAAACTACGATTTGCTGTTGCAAATCTCCTAATTGTCTGCAAATTCAAATATCTCCTCGCTCTTTCGATTGGTAGTCTCTCTCTTTCAGTTAAAAATTCAGCTTCATTTTCGAACAAGGATTTGTTTGCTTTCTACTGTATTAACTGTGAGAAATTTATTCAATACTAAAGCGGTTTTGAGTTCGAGTTTTATTTATATTTTTAAGTTATTTTTCGAATTTTACTGTGATAATGATTTAGCAGATTTGAGCTGCGATTGATTTTTTGAAGTAGATTTAAATTTTAAGTTTGAAGTAGTTACTGAATTTGCTTCTTCTTCTTCTTCTTCTTCTTTTTTTCTGAGATTCTGAGAGTAATGATGCTTAAAATCAATTATATGATACTGTAAAATTGAGCTAGATCTTGTTTTCTAGATTGCAGAGTTTGTTGATTCTAAAAATTGTAGAATCTGAATTCTGCTTTTAATCGAACTATATTTCTGTTGAGATCGTTTGCTTGGACTTCTCTAAGCCAAGTGTTGTTTATTTTGAATTCTTAACCACTGTTTGGAAGCTGCGAAAATGAAAATGAAAATGAAAATTCAGCAGAATTTTGAATTTCATTGTTCCTTTTCTAGTTGTTAGGGAAATAAATATCTAACACGTAACTCAAGAATTTGGATATTTTCATTTTCTCGGATTTTAAATTTAAGAACGAAAATTACAGTTTCTATCATTTTCTGATCACACTTCATCAGCCGCCAAAAAGATCCGAATTGAGTTTGAATTTTGTTTTTAGGTTTCGAAATTAAAGATCAGATTTAAATTTCTGTGAATAAAAATATCCCGAAACTAATTATTTTGTTTTTACTCGTCAATTGAGGAAGGTATGAAGTGGATCTATGGACAGAGATAGCTAAGTTTTTGGACGGGAAGTCTCTGGTGAAGCTCGCAGCGACTTGCCAATGGTTCCACAAAGTCATCATGCATGACAGTGTGTGGAAATTTGTTTGCTTGCGTGATCTTCAAGTCCCAGCCCCATGCCAAGTGGCATTCAAGTGGATCAAGCTCTATGGTTCACTAGCCGGTAATTATCAGACCCCTTAATTGTTGCACATTTGTGATTTGGTTAGAATTATTGAACAGCGCGTGATAAAATTTGATTGTTGATGGATTGGTTTTGCAGATGGGAGTCACTCCTACAAGTTCCGCGACAAGGAGAAGCATATTGGTAAGTTTGTTCTCTCTTTCAGTGGTTTTTCTTTTAGCAGTCGATGTGGAATATTTCCAACCTCTTATGGTATGGTTTGTTTAAAAGATTTAATAGTCTCCTTGAGCTCAAAAAATGTGGTGAAGATTATAAGCTGTTTGATTTTGGGTTCAGTTGACTTTCTTTCCTGTAACGGTTTAAAAGCATTACTTAGTTCAGCACGAGCTCCTGATTTGTTACTCAAACAACGAAGTATATCAATCTTTCGCTTTTTCATCAATTTATGGCCCATTGTAATTCACTCAATGAAATATTCCATTCAACTTTCTCATTCACAAAAGAGTAGTTAATGTGCATATATCTGTTGTGAACTTTGGAATGGACGTAATATATTGGAGTTTAAAACGGACGCAATTGAATATAAAAAGCACAATATAATCGAATCAGTAGACATAAAATTTTATTCGTTGTATGTTATTCTTCTATGGGACAATCAGATTGGATGCGGATTGGTGCATTTTTCTTTGACTCCCAAGTAGCGCTCCTGTCCGAGGGGCTCAGCTTGCCATTGAAAATAATTAACAAAGATCCTGTAGAGAAGGCTCTGGAATCCCGCGGAGCTTGTGTGCTAAGTAACATCAAAAAAGGAATCTGGATAGCAGGTAACTTTAATTTGATTCCGTCACCCTAGCAATGTTAGTTCTGATCACATTTTAGTCCGCTAAGATCTAACAAATTTTGGATCACAAACCAACTAACTTTGCAAACAAAACTGCCAATGTCTTCAGATCTGCAGCTTGTTCGATGCCCTGTTTGTGAACTCGATACATGTGAGGGTGAGCTCAAATTACTTTACTGGCTAGCTATAGGAGTTCCGATTCATGAGTTTCCTTCAAGAGTCATTCGGTAAATGTAGCATGTAATTTGGCGTACACGTTCATCTACTCTACTTTAGTCACAGGCCTACTGCATAGAACAATTGGTAAAGCGACTGAATTTTGGACTAAAAACTAAAAAGTGCCATGTAGATGACTGTCTGTCGCATTCCTTTACCTTCTTGCAATGAAAGAGGATATTCAGTAGTTGAAGAACAAAAATACTTTTTCTATACAGGAACAATGCAGACATTAGAAGCAAGGCATATGGAGTTGTTTCTGTGTGAGGGATACCAGAATGGGAGCTGGGACTATGACCCGATCGGAACCTATACAGTCAAAAAGTCAGTGGATGCAGCTTCTGGTGGCATTTTCGATCTCAAACACATCAAGGACCGTGCAATGGCTGGTAAAACTTCAATTGTGATAAAATGGAATTCTTTGTTAGAACTTTCCGTAATTTTTCCTTAAGTCGAGATTTTGCTATTCATTTGGGTTCTGTTTTTAGTGAAATCACATTTTTACATTACAATGAACCAAAAAATTTATTCATGTCTGTGTCAACTCATTGAATGGGGGTTAACTGGTTAAAAAAAAAAGTACTTAACTGGTGCTTGCATTTTCTCTTGATGTTTAAAATATTTGGCCATAACATTTGTTCTCACTTCTGATTTGAATTGTTGGCGTTCAATTTGGAGCAATATCAGCCTAAAGGTTTATTGTTCTCGATATCATGTTTTTGAACTGAACTGGAATTGGCAGGTGTGTTTAATCTGAAGTCATGGGCAGGACAACCCAGTGATTTACAGCCAAAGGCTATGATCACTTTCCATTCGGTTGCAATCCGCACCAATTTACAAGAAAATCAAGGTGAGGCCTCCCGAGCTGTATATAGTCCGAACTTCCATTATCTGGCCCTCGTACAGGTTGTTATCCATGACAACAATCGCAATTTACTTCCAATATATCCTTGAATCTGTTCTTTCTGATTTTAAAAATGCACACAAACTGAACCGCTAACTTCTTGTTATTTCCTTCTGTCTATCAATCCCTGTTTCTCGGGGGAAGCAGGACTTCTTACAAAGTACTACGCGATGAGAGAGGGACCTGATGGAGAAGTAGTTTCAATTAGAATCTCTCAGCAGCTTGTGTAGTCCAGCTCCAGTCACGCATATCCTATAGGCCACAATTTTGCATCCTTCTCCATAGCAATAGCAATGCATTTTCAATGCTGTAATTCAAATACATAGTTCACCAAGAGAAATCGATCTGGTGTAGTTAATGGCTCGCTAGGTTTTCATTTACACCCGGTTGCGGCTTCAGTGGGACAATCAACTAGATAATGGCCTCTTGGCTTTCTTATAATCTTGATTTTTAATACCTTGTTATATCTTGAGGTTTTGCAATGAGAAAATAAATATTCATAAAAGTAAAATATGCATAGGTATGTATGCATACATTTGGGTGAAACTTGTAGTTTACTAGCTAAATTCAATTTTAATTTACTCAACGATAAAAGTCTATGCATAAAACTCTCACTATCAATTTCTGACCAGCCACTGTTAATTAAATGGCGGATGGAGTTGTAAGCCTAATCTGTTTTTCTGAGAATATCAGAAAGGCATATCTTAATGTTTTTCCGAAACAGTTTCAACTCTTGACTTGTATAAGAAACGATGAATGGGGTGCACATAGACACATAAGCTCCTGGTTTTTTATGGAACCTAAAGGCTTCTTCGTTAACACTGGCCATAAGTAGTTGACCTATAGGCTAAAGCAATAGTATTTACTTGAAAATTGCCGTCACGCAAGTGGTCACGCATCCCTGAGCTCCTTCTTATGAAGGTTGACTTTGGAAATGTTTATTTTAGTGTCGTTTTAAATGAAGAATATTATAAGAAGGCCTCCCTTTTCTTGAATCAGCCCTTTCGACACTATGGCCATCTTAGAAGTTCTCTTTCTGATCAAGCTCCTTCATTTTATCAATGCAGCAGCAGATTGCTCAATCTCCGCGTGCAGCGTCAACGAAGTCTCTGTTCGATTCCCTTTCCACCTAGAAGGCCAGCAACCCCGAAACTGCGGTTACCCTGGTTTCAATCTAAGTTGCAATAATCAGAGTATGACAGTTCTAGGACTTCCTCATTCCGGGGACTTTCTCGTGCGTGCCATCAATTATCTCACACAACAGATACAGCTTTACGACTCGGATAATTGCCTTCCCAAACGCCTTCTACAGCTCAATCTCTCAAGTTCTCCTTTCGCTGCTGTTTTTCATCAGAACTACACCTTTCTAAGCTGCCCAACTCAGCTCGTAAAGTATCGCTTCGCTATCATCGAGTGCCTTAGTAATTCTACAGTTTCAGTTTTAGCTACCTCTTCCACAAGCCTTGTGAAAGCAATGTCCTCATCATGTGATGTTATTAGCGCACTGCCAATTCCAGTTTCGTGGCCTGTCCAATATAATGAAGGGTTCTCATCTGAGCTCAGTGGGGATCTTCTATTAACATGGTTCTCTCCTGATTGTGAAAAATGCGAAAGCCAAGGCGGCACGTGTGGTTTCCATGGAAATGCTAGTCAAGAAATTGGATGCTCCTACAATTCTAAAAGAGGTAACATTCCTTACCTTTATTTCTATTTGTTAAGCCACAACTTCATAACCATCTTTACTTACAAAAGAAAAGAAGAAAAGAAGAAAATACCACATAGTTGACTGGATCAAAATATTCTTTGCGGAGCTAATGGTATTTGAGAAACAAAAGATATTGGGAAATTCTCAATTTGGTATTGGTCAGCAGACTTGGAACAGTAACGCGTGACGTAGGAATCGTGTATTAGTAGGGCAGAGGAATTGACTTAAGTAGATAATTAAATATTGAACTACCATCATTAGCTAAGCTAATATATATATATATATTAGGAAGAATGTCAAGTGGGATGTGATAATGGATAATCATTTCCAGTTATGATATGGTTCACGCCCACCTTGGTATCATTCAAATCTCTAAGCCTTACCATTCTCAGCAGCCAAAGGTCAAATTCTAAATGAACCTGTTCAGCTATTATGTCAGCTCTTTAGTTCCCATCATTTCTAATTCATCAACCTCTGTTCAGTCAAACAGGCCATGATAATGTATCTTTATTATCAACCTTCCATTCAGTTGCCCTTTTTTGCTTTTATTGGTAGAAGATGCAACGACCGGACATATTTGTTCGTTGATTTCCAAGCAGTCAATCGAGGAGAGTAACCTATGTCAGGAAAGTTAATTTACTGGACATAGCGAAATTCTGGGATCATCACGAATTGTTTTTCTTCTTATTCTAAACAAGTGCCATAAAGAAAAGTAGATTTAACAAATGCAATGAACTCTTATGTAATACTGAAAAATAGAATGAACCTAATCGACAAAAAATAGATAAATTGAGAACTATCAATGATCTGGATCAAATATTGACAGCTTCCAATTTCAGGCAAGCCTGCCAGTAATCTCAGAGTTTTCGGGATCCTTATCCTGTCAATTGGAATACCCGTTCTTGTATGTGCAAGTGGGATGGCTATGTCTGCATACCTTATGCTCTGGCATCCTCGAGGCAATCAGGGAAATAACACGCAGAGGAACCCCGCAACAGCAACAGTCTCACCTCAACCTACCATCTTAGGGATGGGTCTTGATGAGTCCACCATCGAATCATTCGACAAGCTGGTCCTGGGAGAAAGTAAGAGGCTGCCTGGTCCCAATGGTAGCACCTGTGCTATATGCTTATCGGAATATAACAGCAAAGATACACTGAGAATCATACCAGAATGCAAGCACTGCTTCCATGCAGACTGCATTGATGAATGGCTACGGATGAACAATACTTGTCCAGTTTGCCGGAAATCACCATCGCCTGCTCATGTCAGATCATCAAACGTTTGACATTAAAATATTTGATCTCTCTGTCCCTCTACCTTTGCTAGATTGAAGCAGTTTTGTTCATAGGATCCTCCACCATCACACCACATACACAATGGCACATACATTGCTTCTTGTTTGTACATAGTGGTTTTCAACAGTGTTTCTTATTTGTTTTGGAGTGAAATGTGTGCTAGCTTAGGAATGACTAGGTTAAATGCTTGAAAATAGACAAAGATTGGAGCCAAAATTGTCTCCACACTCAACTGTATTTCGATGACTTGAATTCATTATCAATACACTTCCTAATCTTGCTGCCAAAAATGTAGGTAGATCATAGATGTGGCTCTGGTTAACAAAAGCCACATTGCTTGGTCCCCAATAGCAGCTGTTATTTCTTTTTTAGCTAATTTCACTAAGCTATCACAGAAGAGCGAAGTTTCTGCATAAACCCCATATATGCTGTCAAAGGCAAAATGTTCTGTAATTCGCTGGCAGACCCTGACTTGCAAATGTTCTATCCACCACGATTACATCCCGAGCACTGTTGATTGAAGGTCTGCTCGACTGTGCAAGATGGACCATTTGGCATAGGCTTCCCCATGTCTCCTTCCAAAAGGAATTGCAAGGAAACCAACGCCGCGCTCTTAACCAGATAGGATAATTAGAGGGACAAAAACACATAAAACGCTGCAACCCGTTTATATTTCCGTTCCTTGAAATCCCACGTGATCAGGAATGCAAAACTTAATAACCTGCAGGCGTAGAAATTAATTAAATAAGGGGGGCAAAAAACCCTTCCAGGTCCATCTTTAGTATAGCATTACCGTGTGCATAGCTTTTGCATTTCTTAACCACTTTAGACAAACTCTCCAATGTAAGGATCCTGTCGAGTTCAATCTGGGTTTACTCTGAAGACTACAGGTCCAATTTGCTCAGATAAAATCTAATTTTACTTGAGCACCACAATTCAAACTCTGTAGGCACTAAGCAGTTTCGCATGGTTCCCTATCATATTGACTTATTCAGGACCCATTCTGACCCTGTCCATACCATAAACATAGAAGTAACTCCAAAGGAATTCATTGACAGTAATTAAAACTTAATTTCACATTTGATTGTTTGTGAAGAATGAAGAGAGTTGAGGAATATTTTTGTAAGTGGGTGACCATGGATTTTGGATTGTTGGTTAGCGAGGTTAGGAAAGATATAGCAAGCTGTTTTTAATTACAAAACTAACATATACCCTGCGCGTTGCCGTAGAGCGAGCTATACAACATTATATGTTCATCCACGTAAAATACGAATTTAAAAATAATTATTGAAAAAGATCATGCCAAAGAAATTCAAAGAATAGAAGGACCAAAATATATATTTTATATATTGCCGCAGGGTTAGTTAAACAAAAGTTTGCAAAATTGAGCAATATACTGTTGCTAATTAGATGTTGGATGCAAACACACATTTTATTAGAAATATGTATAATAACCGATAATTGAAATAATGACGTAACAGTTTTTTAAATTTTGTATGATTAATTTCTACCATATGCTCTTCAGTTGTAGTTTTTTAATGAGACAAAGAGAGAACACCCAAAACAAAAAGACAATTTTTTTTTTTTTGTGAAATTAGAATGAAATTGAAATATTTCAAAACTTATTTAGCAAAAAATAGGAACAAAAATTACATATGACAAAACTTAAATGATCAAAACAAGTAAAGATCATAAAATAAGGATTAAAAAAAAACTATCACGAAAAGCCAAAAAAGACTTATGAACAATAAGACTAAAAAAAAAAAAAAAACAAACTCATTATGCATAAGGTACGAATAAAAATCAAGCCTAATAAAGCTTTAATGACCAAAAAAAAAATCACAAAATAGAAATAAAATTTTTTCTAAAAGCAAAAAAAATTTAAGATAGTGAACATATATTTAATTTTAGTATAAAAAGAAAAAAATAAAATATGATAAAAATAAAAAAATCACAAAATAAAAATCAAAATATAACAAAAAGTTTCACTAAGAGTTCAAAAAATCATTCTTGAAACAAAAATCAAATATAATAAAACTTCAATAACCAAAATTAAAAAAAAATCCACTAAAAGCTAAAACAGGGTCTTAGCTACGGTGAAAGGTTATATTGTTTTAGTATATTTACAAGATAAAAGTTCCCAGAAACGAAGTCGTTTCAAACAAATAAACCGATCCAAACAGACCCCAAGCAATTTACCCACCCCTTTCCAGATGCAGGACACTGCGTTTCAAAAATTCCAAGAGAGCGGCAAAACACTAGAGAGAGAAAAATAAAAAATTCGCAGGCTCCAAAGAGCTGAATAATCCTCACTTATCGGCTAAAGCTAAAAAAAAAAAAGACAGAATTTCCCTTTCACATACACTCCATCGATGGCGAGAACGAAAACTCAGGCTGCTCGAAAACGAAGCAGAAGCCAAAGGCAATCCGGTCAGATCTCTCTCTCTTTACATATAATTTTATCAACACACGAAAATGCGGAAATGCATAAATTTATGTTTTTTGGTACAAAACACTCATTTGTTGTTTTCATATTTACATGTAAAAGGTTAGGGTTTCTATTTTTCTCTTTTTTTGTTATAAACCTTAACTTTTTATGTTTTCCTTCGTGAAATTACAGAAGCTGCACCATCCACGCCTAGAACGCCAACATCATTGGTACCTCTCTCTCTGTTTGTTTTGTTGTTTCTTGTGATTTTTTCTGTTGCCTGTTTGGTTGCTGAGAAAATGCGGGAGGGGAAAGTGACTACTAATTATTTGTTTTAAACTCCTGTTTTATGTTTTGTATAAATTTGAAGAAAAAATTAGAAAAATAAGTTTGCATAAGCTGGAGGTAATTAGTTATGGAAAACCCTAGGAAGGAGAAACTTTAGAATAATAATAAAAAATGTGAAACACACACACATATGTTTTGTTTTAAATATTTTCACGGCTATTAACTGAACCTTTGTTTTCTAATTTGTGATTTTCTGCTACTCTTTTAATTTCGTTCGTAAAGTTAAAAATGGGTCAGACACGAAGAAAAACAATTTAAAATTCATTACACCTTTTCTCTTTTTAACTGTTATTTTAATATAGAAAAACATGAAAAAACCCAAAATAGTTATATATGTCTTGTTTTTCTCTTGCCTTAAATTTCAAATGTTCCACTGTTTTCCTTTTTTTGTTTAATGATCTCATATTTTATTTTTTTTGGTTGCAGAGGACAAGGTCAAAGGCAAATGCCCAACAAGGTGAGTTATTTATTTATTATTATTTTTTTTTGGGGTGAAATTTGGTTCTTGTTTTAGATTGAGTTGTTCAACTTGATTGTATTGACATGTTTTTTTTTTCTGAGATAATTTTGCTTTATTTGTTAATATTTGTAAAAGGTCCATCCACACAGACGCAGAGGAAAAAACACCGCTTCCGTCCAGGGACAGTAGCTCTCCGGGAAATTCGGAAGTACCAGAAGACATGGACGTCACTCATACCAGCTGCTAGCTTCATTCGATGTGTAAGCACTCTCTGTTGTAACTTTTTTGTGCATATGATCTTGTTATTGAGGTTTAATTGGATGTGGCAATGGTTGTTATCGTTTTACAGGTAAGAATGATTACCCAGGAGTTTTCCCAAGAAGTTAACCGTTGGACTGCTGAAGCTTTAGTTGCAATTCAGGAGGTATTGTGATTTTCTTTGAACTGTATGCCAGTAGTATGGTTCATTACTTCGATGCTCCAGCAAAAATCTGTAGTTGTGTTGAAAAGTCTCAGTGATGCAGGACAGCTTAGGGGCTGTTCTGGATCTGATTTTTGGAGGGTGTTTGGGGTTGTATTGATGTAGGTTTCTGCTGCAATAACACGAAATACGAGGGTAGAATTCTAGGAGTCACCCTGAGAGGATAGAAAAACCTAAGCTTCACACTTAGGGTTCTTAGGAGTCACACAATCAAAAGCAAATTGCTGGAATTTTATTCATAAAATTTTCTTCTTCATAATATTGAAAGGCTACATACTTATTTACAGAGTTCTGTAGAATAGGAAAAACCTAATAAATCTAAGCCTACCTAGAATAGGAAAAAACTAATAAAGCTAATTACTCCTTAGGATAAATAGAAAATAAAACCTAGACTTAGACAAATTTCTAGATTTTCTGCAAATTATAGAAATATTCTTTTCTACAAGAAGATACAAGCTTTGCTTCCTTTGTTGTCCGCATCACTCAGTGTACATGCATTTTCAGTTTAGTAGTACGCAATCTCCTCTTAGTGTTGTCATCACCTCTAGTCTTGTTCAGTACGGTCATGTAGTTTTTGGTAAAAATGGGGACCAAAGCCCCTAAACACTTAAAATAAGAGAACAAACACATGGAAGAACCATCCCCATTAAGTCATTAAAAAGAAAATGTCCCAAGCCCGAACCTGACCCCCTAAAGCCACTTCTCCAGACTCCATTACTATCAAGAACCACAGCCCCCAAACCAAGTAATTACTCTGCTCTGGGTCTACTTTTCATAAGATTAGGGAAGTTGTGCTATTAAATCTTGATACATGCCAGTTATTGTTTTGTTACTTGTGTAGGCAGCTGAGGATTTTTTGGTTCATTTGTTTGAAGATGGAATGCTTTGTGCAATTCATGCAAAACGCATTACATTAAGTGAGTGAGACTTGATGCAACTATTACAATTACATGCTTTTCCTTTTCTTTTTTCTCCTTTAGTTTCATGAGCAAATTTTCACATTATAATAGAATTTTGATCAACTCTAGTTCAATGATTTCTGCTATATACACTCTTAATAATCTTCAGTTCAGTGCATAGCAGGTCAACTCAAGTAAGTTAGATTTTTTATAACTACATCTATTATGATCATGACCTGTTTGTGTTTCCTTCAAATTCTATTGGAAAACTTTGCACCTCTATTTATTTAATTAGATGGAATTTTGATCAAGTTTACTTCGGTGGTCTTACAATCTTCAGTGTAGATGTACACCAAATCTTATGCTGCTTCTCTGATGTATAACTGCTAGTATGCTTTGCAGATTATTGATATTTCAGAGGTTAATTTTTTAGGATTACGTGAACATCCTTGAAATTATCTAGATTGATTTGTGAGTTTGAAGAAGTCACTCAAGATGAAACACAAAAACAAGGGAACTAAAACTAATATAAACAAACCATAGACTATACAACGTACTTCTAATAGTTGCGAACCTACTTAACTTTGATCGTGATGGTAATGTTTCTCAGCTTCTACTCTAAATTCATTTTTAGAAGTTCTTTGGCATAAATATTGGCCGTTTTACTCAGACAACCATGCCTTTTGTTTTCCTATGCCTCTGCCACTGATGCACCTTTTTCTATGGCATTCAAAAGTACATATTAATATATAACAGTTGGGATATTCTGAAGTGCGTTGCTGCAGTGTTCACATTGTGCACAATTATTTGGATTCACCAATATTATAGATCTTACTGTTGATGATCCCATAGCAGCATGCCTATGATGTTTTGTCCAATTCAAATTCATTCAATCTTGCTTCAGAATTTTATATGAGCTCTTCAGTAAAGAAACTTGTTTTATTTGCTTTCTTGCTTCAGTGAAAAAGGATTTTGAGCTGGCTCGTCGGCTTGGAGGAAAGGCACGACCTTGGTGACAGTGTCACAGTACAAGAGCATTTCTGATTGTGCCCACCTGATCTGCAATTTTACATTGTTGTTCTGTAAATAGCGCATTATTAGGAAGTAGAAATCAGTCACCACCCTCATCAAACCACATGCAATGTGGCAGCTTTCAGAAATTTGCGTAAACAGAAATTTTGCGGTGCATGATAATTTAGACTACAGGGAAGGTAGATCCCATTGACCATTGTCTATGTTTCCTTAGAATCCACAAGTCATATTAGGGTCATAATTGGCCGATTATGTTTTGAAGGGGATCTAATGGCTGATGTGCTTGTTGGAGGCAGTGTATGTTGTCCTTAAGTCTCTCTTTGATGGCTAACACATTGCAATTTTAATCTATTTGTATTGCTTGTTTGATGTGAACATTGGAACCTCAACTTGCTTAGATCTTATTAATTCGATACCCGCACTATGCTCGTGGTAAAACAACCGTTGCATACGTAGAATTAATGATTCGTATGATTTAATGCGAATAGAAGTTGCATACGTAGAATTAATGATTCGTATGATTTAATGCGAATAGAAGTTTTATTTCGATGATTAATGTAAATCAAATCTATATATTGAGCGAAATTATTTGATTTATATATATTTATTAATAAAATATTTAATAATATTAGCATAAAAATTTGCATTTAAATAATTGAGAGGTTCTTTTGAAATATTATCTAACTTATTTTATTTAAAAAATAAATATAAAAATATAAGAAAATAAATAACAAATAATTTGTATTATGTGAGTATATATATATATATATATATATACTTAATAGATTCAGAAATAAATAAAATATACCAAAATTGTATGAAATATATTGAAGTCAATAAATTAAAATAAAAACGACAATAAAATTGATTTTGATAAACTCGAATAAATATATATATATGAAAAACAAATAAAACTTGTGAATTTCATTAATCGATTATTAAATTTTTTTTTAAAAAGGAGTCAAACTATGTAAGACATATTTTTATCTCCCTCTCTCCCTCTCTCTCTATATATATATAATTAGAATTTATAAATTATAATAAAAAACTCATTTTAAAAGCAAAAAAATTAATTTATTATATAAATTATAATAATATAAAACACCGGCATTTTAAAATTTTATTCCAAAATTCATATATTAAAAAAATAAATTTGATGTGAATTTTAATAAGAAACAAATAATTGAAAAAAAAATAAACAATAAAAGTAATATAATAAGATATACATATTCTATCATTTTCAAACTCGTATGCAAAACTAAAAAAATAACAATTTATTTTTAAAATTTTTCACACCTAATTTCATGATATATATATATAATGTTAGTATAAAAAACTCGTATTTGAATAATTGGTTAGTTCTTCTTATAATACACAAATTCAAAAATATAAAATATGAAAGACAAATATTTTAAACTAAATTCTTATAATACAATAATGAATACCCATAGATTCTATTTTAGATAACCATATAAAGTTATCTCATTAATTAACAAAACTTTAAATCATATTAACTATTGCAATATCTAACCTCTATTAAAAATATTTATTTTTTGTTAAATTTATTTCAAATTAATCATATATAGTTTAAGGTTATTTTAAATATTTTGAATTAATGAAAAAATTTAGATTCTATTTTGAGTAATCATATAGAGTTATCTCATTAACTAACACAATTTCAAATCATGTTAACTATTGCAATATTCACTCTATAAAAAATATTTAATTTTTTTCAAATATATTTCAACTTAATCATATACGAGTTTAGGATCATTTTAAACATTTTGAAATTCAAGAAACCAAATAAAAAACATATTTATAATGTAAGGACCAAAACAAAAAAGATAAAACTAACTAAACTCACAATATATATTCCAAAGAAAAAAAAAGGTGCAGCAGAAGGATTATGGTTGAGCATTAATCGCTCTGTCCAAGTAAGGAGGAGTTACAAAAAAATGGGTGAAAAAATGGAAGGCAAAAAAGGAAAGCAACGGTGAGAAAGTGTGTATATATATGTCTAAATGTTTTTTTTTAAAAAAAAGAGAGGAAAAAGCCAGCTCACGCCTGCCAGGACAGGCCAGCTCGGAGATATATATATAGAAAGAAACAGAGAGAAAAAAAAAAAGGAAAAAAGCCATGCCTGGTTGGCTTGTGAGCCAAGCTAGCGCGCTTGGGCCTGCGATTGCAAGCCGACGCGCCGGGCGTGGCCAGCTCTCTTTTCGTTTTTTAAAAAAACAAAAAACCTGCAACTTCCAACGAACTCAAGGTCGTTGGAAGCCTCATCGAAAAATCGGAGTTAAAGTTTCAAATCCTTAGAAATTGAATTTCGGCATCATTTTTTTCCCCAAACACCTCTAAATGACCAGAATAAAGCCAATAAATACATCTAAAACCTTAAAAATCATTTTAATGTACACTAAAAAAAAATACACAATCAAATCGAAACTTTTTTTTTTTTGCTCCGATCTACCTCATCCGATTGTTTAATGGCTTGAAACCACCATGTACAAATTCATCTCTCAAAGATTAAAAAATCTAATGAATTTCCGCCGACTCGAAGTGGCCTAAATAAACTTGGCCGATGATTTCTCTCTCCTTCCATCTCTCTCTTCCTCCCACCCTTCTCTCTCCACCTAGAGACCAAAATGGATAAGCAAATAAAGATGTGGATTGAAATATTCGTTTGAAAATACCGGAGACCAAAGTATAAAAAATTACATAACTTTTACCTACCAAAATCCAAAAAATCACGAAAATACCGTCCACGAGTGCAACCGAGTCCGGCACTACGGTAAGTGAATAGTGAAATGTTCACTTCTTTTAGTTTTATAAGAATAAGAATGGGCATGAGAAACTGGCTATCTTTTGGAAATTTGATGAAAGTTAACCGGTGATCCCTACCATTCTAGTAAGACGAAGTAAATAGAAGCGATATGCTCGCCGGCTACGTAAAATGAAGCAAAGTGAATTCTTGGCCGATACTTATTTCATCCTAATCAAGAGCAGCCTTATGGTCTAAGATTAGAACTTCTCTCTTGAAAGTGGTTTTTCTTTTAGTTCATTTTGATCACGTGAAAGTGCTAGTTGAGCCTTTTTACTAAATTTTCTTTCACATGTGCTTCAAATAATTATCGATTCATTTTCATCTCGTTAATAGTTTCAATAAAGGTGAATCGTTAAAAAATAAAAATTAAAGAATTCTTTTATGAAATAATGAATGTCGATATAAATGTTCATATGTTTTTCATATTTTCATTACTCATAATTTTCAATGTGATTTAATTTATCATTCAGTATGAGAAATAAAAAAGATAATGCAACCGATTTAATAAGTTATGTACTTTTAATGGTTTGTAGTGCTTTTCATTTTTATTTTTTATTTTTTATTTATAATCTTGAAGCCTATAAATAGGTTTCGTTATTTATTAGTTTGTGTACAAGCATTTTGTAGAGATTGAGATAGTTATTTAGAGTTCTAATCATTTTATTCATTTTATTTTATAGTGAATTCATTGTCTCATCATCTTTTTTTTCAATTCTATTATTGTTATCATTTTTTTTATAACATGTTACCAGTACGAAATTCTAACCAACCGAGATAATAGAACATAAATTATATATTTACCTAAAGACTTAATTATTTGTTTCAACAATTGGATTGTTTATCTACACGAGTGCTTTACTAAAAGATCTAAATTATCTAAATCATTAAAAATTATGTATCTAATTTATCATGTACTTTAAATCTAATGATACATAGAATATATATTTGAAAAACTTAAATAATTTAATATATAGAATCTAATGATCTAATATATATTGTTTGATAAGTTTTTTAATAATGTTTGTTTTTATTTAAATTTTATATTATACTCTGTTTTTATTTTCTAATATTATTATTATTATACTTTGTATTATAAAATATTTATCATATCAAACCTCACAAAATTTGATTTTGTGACCCTTAACATTTTAGGCAAGAATTATTGATCAT